CTGTCTACTCAGGGCTTTTTGTCGCAAAAACCTCTTCTGCAAAAAGGACCAGAAGAAGATATGCAAATGAGTGCAAGATATGCAAATGAGCACTCCATTTGCATTTCCTCTTCTGCAAAAAACCCACACCTAAATCATTGGAGAAAATGGGTCTTTCACAGCCGCTTTGGGTACAAAATGGTAAGTTTGCTTGCCCTTGGTGCCGTGGTTTTTAAATTTCACTCCTCTTTTTTATGCCATGTGCCATTCCACCAAAGTCTACAGCAGGCTGCATCTCTGGCTAAAAAGCAGTCCTTTGAAGATAAGACTAGATGCATTCCATGAATTGCTGGATAGTCCTAGGTACTACTAAAGTTATCACTTTTATCTTCATTGGCCCAATGCTTAAAATCATATCCCAGATGGGAATATCGCCAAACTACCATCCAAAATGTAACAACCCTGCCTTTCTCCACTTGTTATTCAATAAGGGCCTGATTTAAAGAGGTGCTGCACAAATTCGCCTAGATTTTAGCTAGTGTACGTTCAAGTTTTCCTTTTAGTTTATGTAAAGCTTTAGTATTATCTGATATTTAAAAAAAAGATTAAAAAGATATATGGGCTGACTCCCTACTCCATTGTGCACCACCAAGAGCCATTTATACAAGTGTAGTGTGAGTGCAAATTGGGTGTGATATGCTCCCATGTTAGCACCTTGCACTGATATAAATGACTGTACACAGCTCAGGGAAACAGTGAATTGGTTCATAGGGATTTCTTTGTCTGTGAGAGAGACATAAAAACAGAATAGGGTTTCGGGTGGTTTGTTTGTTTTGTGTGGGTATGTTTCCAGAAGGGGTGAAGAAAAGGCTGAATATTGCTCTCAGACTGCAAACAAAAGATTACCCAGAATGCTACTTGCTGTCTAAAAAATTACAAAATGTCTAGTTGAAGCTTTAAGCTCATGCCATTGTTTTGGCTCTTGACAGAAATCTCTTTGAGTAAGTGCACATTCTTAAAACTCATCTGTTTTCCTATATGTTTAATTTGTCAAGTTCCTAGTTGTGATAGCCTCCTTTCTTCCTCCCCTTCTCCCCCCCTCCAGACACCCCCACACCTTGATAACTGTCAGAAGAGTCTGGAAGATTTGTATTACTACTAGCCTGCAGTAGCCTCTAGTGGCCTGAGGCAACTGGTTGTACACAAAATATGTATCCTTCTGACACCCATGAATTTATTTCTTTAGCATGCCATGAGCTAAATATATCTATCTCTGGTGTATTTTAGAGGCTGTGTGGTCTTGGGTGGTAGAGTGCAACACAAAAGGAAGCTTAGTATAGATGTTTGTTTTCCCAAGGTAAGAAGTCTGGCATTTGAATGCTTTTTTACTTTTCCTTACCACATCAGTGGGAGTGCTCGCACTTCGCAAGTGTTCAGGAAAAGGCTGAGAGATGGGTGGGTGCAGTAGTGTTGCACTAGATGAGATCTGGACTCACTGTTAAGTTGGTCAGCTATTGTCTACTCAGGTCCTCTATGGTTCTGGAGCCTTGAAATAAATACTTACTGAAATAAATACGATGCAATCACAGTTTTATACATTTTTAATTAAAACAAATCAGCAAAAATAAAATCAAGAAACCATATCACCAAAGCCAAGCTCTGTTAACAACTAATCAGGGCTTGTCTGCATTGTCTCACAGTGCTATTTGGGGACTATGTGAATGTGAACTAGGAGCCTTTGAGTTTGCCCCAGCAAACAGGGGAGTTGCAGTACAGGCCTTTGGTGTGCTCCCCAATCCCTCCCGCTCCACATAATCTGAATTGCAGGGCAGAGCAGACACACTTTATGTCTAAACCAATACCACTACCAAGTACTGATTTTTAAAAAAGGTCAAATCAACAAGTTACTCTCCGTATTAAATTGGGATTGAATAATCAGGTGAATAAAACAAATAATCAATTCTTATCAATTCCAAGCAGGAATCTAAGGATGTTACTGTCCATCTGTGTTACAAACCCTAGCTTGGAGCTGGTTGAATATTTTTATATTTAATTCAAATTATCTAATGTCCGAACCACAGACTCAGTGCCAATTATAAAGCTTCCTCCTTAAATTTCAGGTCTATTGTGGTGGTTACTAGCCCTTTCCTTTACACCCATTGAAACACAAGCGTTCACAGGACATTTTGTTAAGTGGAAGTTCCATGACTAATTTAGCGGTTTAGAGCTGGCAGCTCTAAGTGTTGTAGGATATTTTAAACACAGAATATCAAACATAGTTCCCCAGGTATCTTTGAAACTAAGTTCTAGTGCTCTTCAAAATTTTGCATCTCGTACCCTTTCTGTGTAGAGCCTATAAGTGCTCCTGTTTCTGCGTGCGCACACAATCACACTTTCACACCCTAAAAATCAAAGAATTAAAATGCTAGGGTGTCTGCCAGCCAATCAAAAGAAAAGACTAAAATAGAAAAAGGGAAAATAAGATAACAGGTTCATGGGAACTCTTCAGCTCCCAGTCTTCCATATCCCAACAAAAATACAAAACACTAGCCCATTTCTGAGGAAGCTGACATGGCCTTGTCTGAGTGAAAAGGTCTTGCGAAGACGTGGTCACCAGTTTATAGAAAGCCCAGTCTAAAATCCTACAGAAATAACTACCTGAAAAGACCTGATAACAGCCAACTGCTCAACGTTCATCCATCAACGAAATTAAAAATAATCTTCCACATCCAATGACCGATATCATTCTTCTTGCAAATGAGACTGTTTAGTAATCTGCATGCTTAGGAACTAGCCCGTAAGTTAAAGAGCTTAGCATTCAAAGTTTTTTCCTCTTGATGGAAAAAAGTTACTTTAAAACCTTTTAGGATGAAACCTTTTGAATAAATAAATAATACAAAATTGGTATTCCCATTTATGATATTTCTCTTGCAGCTGTGAATTTCCAAGTGTCATTCTATATGTTTGGACAGAAACATATGAAGATGTCGGGGAATAAGCAAGAGTCACTTCACTGTGTGTCTCAAGTGAGACAAAGGAGTAAATGGGATTTAACAATCTGACAAAAGACCATGAAACCTAAGGACTTGTTTACAGAGGGAAATTGACTGGCATAGCTATGGCAGAATACGATACTCCATAACAGCTATTCTGGAAAAGATCCCCATGTGGACATTCTCTTCTAAAATAATGTCTTCACTAAATGGAAGACTGGTGCTGCTGTGATTGATCTTCCTGAGTTCAATTTAGAAGGTCTACTTAAGACTCACTAAATCAAACTCAGAGGGTGCCCTCGTTGGCACAGGTACTCCTGCTTCTGTGAGTAATAAGAGATGTCGACGGGAGAGTTTGCTCCCATCATTCTCCCTCTGTGGAGATGGCAAGGAAACTTGAAACAAGGTATTTCAACTCCAGCTAGGTTATTAACAGAGTTGGAGTTGCATATCTTGATTCGACCTTCCCTTTTATTCCACAACAGTGCATCTACACATGGAGCTATTCCAGAATAACGTTGCCGGTCCATTTTCCCCTTGCAGACAAGCCCTAAGGGTATCAGAGCTGTCTTATTAGAGAAAAGTATATATTTAGTAGTGTTGCCTCCCTCTTAGAAGTGTTAAAAGCAGCGTCTCTACTGTGTATAGTACAACACAGGAGCTTCTTTTTTGTTCTCCTTAAAATCTGAAAAGTGACTTTGATTCCTTTCCTATTCTGCTGCAACTTAGGGGTATGTTTACACTGCATGGCTATTTCGGGATACTGCAGGTATCCCGAAATAACTACCCCACGTCTATACAAGACACCCGTCATTTCAAAATATTTTTTTAAAACAGGCACGCTGTTTTGCCATCCCAGTAAACCTAATTGCAAGAGGGATAAGGGATAGCTAGAAATAGTGTGTTATTTCGAAATTTGGCACTGTGTAGATGCACCAAATTTCAAAATAAGCTATTTCAAAATAGTTTCAAAATAAGACATGCAAATTGCATCTCTTATTTTGAGTTTAGGGTGCTGTGTAGACACACCCTACGTGCTCAGTTTAATTGTTTATGAGAGAGGATTCAAATGTAGCCGGATAGCTAAAGATCACAGAGACAAGTTTAGCCATTTAGCATTATATGTAAGACTGTTAATGCAACTCCACACTTCAGCAGAACTGGAGTTCCCCATTACAAATACTCCTTCAGACTTGGTTAAACTTAACCCAAAGTGCACATAATTTAGATATCAGACTTTCAGGCTGTCTCTAAACTACATGGCTCCATTGATGGAGCCATGTAGATGAGGGTTGTAGGCAAAGGGAAATGAAGCCGCGATTTAAATAATCGCAGCTTCATTTAAATTTACAAGGCTGCCGCGCTGAGCCGACAAACAGCTGATCAAACGGCTCCCGTGCCGACCTGAAAGCCCTTTATCGACATCCCCGTTATGCCTCGTAGGATGAGGTTTACCGGGGATGTTGATAAAAGACTTTCATTTCAACAGGGGAGCGTCCAGACTAGTGTGCTGAGCTAACAAACAGCTGATTCCAGACTAGCACGCTGAGCCAACAAACAGCTGATCAGCTGTTTGTCGGCTCAGCACACTAGTCTGGACGCTCCCGCGCCGACCTGAAAGCCCTTTATCGACATCCCTGTTATGTCTTGTAGGGTGAGGTTTACCGGGGATGTCGATAAAAGGCTTTCATTTTGACAGGGGAGCATCCAGACTAGCACGCTGAGCCAACAAACAGCTGATCAGCTGTTTGTCGGCTCAGCGCAGCAGCCATGTAAATTTAAATGAAGCTGCGATTATTTAAATCGCGGCTTCATTTCCCTTTGCCAAAAAAAAAATCTACATGGCTCCATCGACGGAGCCATGTAGTTTAGACATACTCTCAGGCTCTGCTGTTGCTCATTAATATTACATGAAGGGAAATGCAAACCCGTCTGGACAATATAAAACATGCACTCCATGGGGAAACTTTAGCCAGTACCTGAGCCAAACCCAAATCAAAGCTTTTTTTCTCCTTTTTGCATTTCCAGGATCTGCTTAGAAGCAGAATTGGATGTGCCAAAACAGATGCCCTCCTAGCAGTATGGAGCACAAATAAGTTGGAGAGCCGTTTCTGCTTCTGAGGGGTGTTAAAGGCAAGGTCCTTGGATCATCCTGGGATCAGGAACTTGAATACTGCAGCAAATCATCTGCAGAGTAGAAGCTGGTAGGTTTATTATTGCTGGATACTGAGACTGCTTGATATGGGGAGGGGGTGATCATGGTTAAAGAATTGGGGAAGATGCAATTTTCCTAAATCTTGAGAGTTTTATCCTGAGCTTTTGCAATATTAACTTCACAACATCAGTTTAGTATCAGAGGGGTAGCCGTGTTAGTCTGAATCTGCAAAAGTGACGAAGAGTCCTGTGGCACCTTATAGACTAACTGAAGTGTAGGAGCATAAGCTTTCGTGGGCAAAGACCCACTTCGTCAGATGCATGTAGTGGAAATTTCCAGAGGCAGGAATAAATATGCAGGCCAGGATCAGGCTGGAGATGACCAGGTGGATCCAATCAAGGAGGATGAGGCCCACTTCTAGCAGCTGATCTGGAGGTGTGAATTCCAAGAGAATAGAAGCTGCTTTTGTAGTTAGCGAGCCATTCACAGTCTTTGTTTAATCCAGAGTTGATTGTGTCAAACTTAAAGATGAACTGTAGCTCAGCAGTTTCTCCTACACTTCAGTTAGTCTACAACATCAGTTTGTAGCTCCCGTTGTAACAGAGAACAAACTGGATCAATGTGATCCCCGAATCATTAACCAGAAGGGAAATAAAAAGATTTCTCAATGGATCATTTTTTAAATAGGTTTTTTTTCCCAACCAGTCTTAGCCTCAATTTCCTGTGAGTACAATGGAAATAATGCCTTTCCTCCCACTCTGTCTGGCTTGTCTGCTTACTTGCAATACATAACAAATTGGTAATGGTAATGTGTTACTTCCATAGACAGCAGGTTTCATCCAAGGATGTCCAACTATTGACAAGAATTCAGCTTCACAAAACCTTGTGGGGTAGGCGAATGTATGGCCAGAAGGAACCATTATGATCATCTTGCTTGGTCTCCTATACAATATCGGGCAGGGAATCTCCCCCCTCCCCACCCCCCACTGTCTGGTGACTTCTGCATCAGGCTCATAACTTCTGGTGTTAGATGTTATTTCATTTTGTAGTTGGGTATGTTGAGGCAAAAGTTAAGTGGTACGCACAAGGTTACACAGCAAGTCGGTAACAGAGCCGACAGCTTCATTTATAGTTTATGAAAGGTTAATAAATGTGTAGTAGATGTTTTAATAAATGGTTAATGCATTTTTACTGAGCTCAGCAGGTCTAAAGGTTGCTTCCAGCCATCTATAATACTTTCTATTGATGTGCACACATCCATCTACAAGTGCCTGTGACTGTAACATGAGTCTCATGTCTATAACATGCTTTATGCATCTATGAACCATTTATTAACCCTCTACAATGGTTTTTGTGAATAAACGCAGTTATCAAAGTGAAAGAACAATCATTGCAAGATTAACAGAGCAACCATGATATGAGAGACAGCTATGCCTGATTCCTAATGCCTAGCATGTTGGGACAGAAGAGTGCATTTCATCCATGTACACAGCGGATGAGTGTTGAAATGGAAACACAATGTAAAGTGCAACGAAGGCTCTGTCTACACTGCAAGCAAAAGATGTGTGTCCCCTGCTCATGTACTCAGGTAGCTCAAGGAAAGCTAGTGCAAGCCTAAATGGTAGCATAGGCCCAGTAGCACAGGCTTAGCTATGCCAAGTAGGAAACAAGTGTATACTGCACACCACCACAGCCCAGCTTGTCATAGCTACGTTACTATCTAGACTCGTGCGAGGGCTCGTTGCCCTCCCATGGGCATGTGCACAAGACCAGGAAAACCACAAGGCTAGCGTGCAGTGTAGGCATAGCCCAAGTTAACTTCCAGTCTCCTGATTTAAGCACCAGACCAGCAGAGATTTATGTAAAGAAAATTGAGTCATGTGTTGACAGTGTGCCTTTAAGACCAACATGTCATTCTAGATATACGGCTCTAACTTGGCCTGTCTGTGATTATGTGTGTTAACATCATTACTTGTGTATAGCCTGTCTTTTCCCTTTCCAGGTTATATGGGAAGTGATTCTTCAACAAATAATGGACACCATTCACAGCAGGTGGTTTCATGTTTTTATTACAAGCCCTGGGATACGTCTATAAAATGTTAAGAGCAGTTGTTAACCACCGACTCCACCATTTGTTGTTCAAAGCAACTGAAATACAGTATACTAATATGAACTGGTCAGCATATTGTACTCTCTTACATCTGTGGTCTGTGAATGGCAGTTCTTCTCACCACCAGGATGGATAGGTAGGTAGGTAGGTTGATAGATAGATTATTCTGAGTTAGCTAGCTGCTATCTAGCCGTTTCTACAGGGAAGAGTAAAGGCATTTTCCTCTTTGCACTGTTTGCAGCCTTATCAGTAAAATCCTACTCAGAGAACTTTGGAAGTCCACAACAGCCAAACAGTTTAATTTAAAATGTAGGTGTGTGATGGGCAAATTCCCACACCAATGGGAAATTCCCACACCAAGGTGGTCTATATCACGTTTAATCCCTGAAGAGAATCTTAGAGATGAATTATGAATCTAGAATGCGCAAAAAACTCTTTAATATAGAGCTATACACCATTGCCTTGAACCATTTGCTAATGGTGATTAGCTCTAATGAAAGAGTTGAATAGTTATTTGGCTCAGTTTTGAATAAGCACACAAAACCAGCTGACCAGCTAGGATTTCCAAAGCTAGCCCCCAAATCTCATTGCTCTTTGTTTATCGAATGGATTTGCATTACCATAGTTCCCAGTGGTCCCAACCAACACTGGGTGGGCAAGTCACTGTACAAATATGTAGGAAGGGGTGCATCGTTGGGCTGAAGAACTTCTAAGGGAATCTAAGGGCCACACTGTGAACCTTGTACTTCTGTTGAGGTTACTGTGGTGGCAGCAGCAGCTGGAGCCTTGGCCCTTTAAATCATTGTTGGAGCACCAAGGAGCATGCCAGAGGCTGCCTCGGGGAGCCACAGCACTGTCATTTCCACCCCGCCCCATCCACCCAAAGCCCCAGGCTTCCCCCGACACACCTTGCCCAGGGCCCCACTGTGTACATGTGTGCAATGTACTCTCCTGTCCCAACATGCTAGGCATTATGAATCAGGCATATTTGTCTTACATAGCGCAGTTGCTCTGATAATCTTATAATGATTGTTCTTTCACTTTGATAACTGCTTTGACTCACAAAAAGTGTTGTGCTGATCTTAAGGTCTCTGTTCTAATTGCCACACTGGGGTTATGCAAATTGCTAATGATGTATTATTTAGAATTATCATACAAAGACGGGTGGTACTTTGGATTTGTACCAGTGTACAGAGAGGAAGTTGGTCCCCTAGGGTTCCAAATAGAGCAGGATGAATATCAAAACATTTGCCCTGTATATTAGTTTGAATGTGTAAATGCACTCACTTTTAATATGCATGTGCCTTTTTTGTGCTCTCTTTCGGAACATATTCTACTGAATGAATTCACCAGTGGGAATGTTAACAGACACAGTGCATTTTAAGCAAATATTGCAAAATATTTATGGATAATGGACTGCAAATTCATAAAATACAAGTAGTCATGCCTGATTCTTTGAGTTGCATTCACCCAGGCAAGGGGTGGGAAACATAATCTGTTGTGTTCAGTCCAAAGTCACTAACAGCTAGAGTTTTTATTACTAGAAATGACCTGCACATGCATAATCCATAGAATAAGAGCTACAGTTTTTACAGAGAATAACGCTGAGTTACAAATGTGAGAAACTTGTGAACCATTGGTAAATAGTTGCAAACAGGATATAAATACATTATTGACTAAAATTATCCCCCAGATTATTTTTCTAGTTTATCTTAGTATGTCCACAGTTCACCTAATCATAGCACTATTTCAGAACTTATTTTGTGCTTCTCAACTCTAGCTTAAGTTGAAGGACTCAAGAAACCACTAAGTCAATGTCTTTTTAGTACAAGAGACTGTTATTTTTTTAACCTGTAGATGTTCATAACTCATTGGTAGGAAAATTACTGCATTTCCATTTACTGGGAATTGTAATGATGCGATTGTATTTTAAGAATTTTTCTCCATGATTTGGCATAATTTGTTAAAGACTGATTGTTTAAAGTCATACAAAAGTTTTGAACTAAAGCTGCTTATTTGGATGGGAAGGTGATTCACGGTAGAGTGATATAAATTCTCTTCCCACCTCTGCTTACCAAAATACACACATCAAAAATGTACAGATTCATTACATAGTTTAATTCTATTTAGTATTTAGGTGTCTCAGTAAATAAATTATTGAATGCCAGAAGCTGAAAATTCTCCATAACAAAAGGGATGCCCTAGGAAGCTATTTAAATCAGACATAAAAGCCACAATTGTATTTCAGAAATCAAAAAGCCTGTTTCACAGCTGCACAAGATATAGGGGAAGAATTACCTCTCTCCACCTGATTGACGGAAAGCCCCTCAATCACTGAAAATTTCAGTGGTACCTGTAGGAAAAACAGATTCATACTAATCTCACAGATACTAGGGCCACTATGACCAAAATGTCTCCTCTGCATTTCATGTATGTGAAATGAGTTAATGGACTCATGTGAGTTCCTGAAAGTCAGGAATCCACGTTATAAAAGGTCGTGATCATAACCGCCAGCCGCTGACTGATTTTAATAGCTGTCTCAGGAGCAGGACTGAGGACTGAATGGATGTGATGAGTGAATTGCTATCTCATCCTTTTGCATGGTCTCTTCCCATCCAGCTAGAAGCACATGGAAAGCCTGCAGTGCTGCTGTTCAGACTGCCAGGTTTCAGAGGGGTAGCCGTGTTAGTCTGCTTCAGTGAAAACAGCAAGGTGTCTGGTGGCACCTTAAAAATGAAGACGTATCTGGAATCTCTTCCTTTCTTTCTCCTCAAGCATCTGAAGAAGCGAGTTGTATCTCACGAGAGTTTGTACCTGAATATATTTTTTTACGCTTTACGGTGCCACTGGACACTTGTTTTTGCTCAGATTGTGTGTGCAATAGACTATGGAGTTTGCACCAATTCTCAGACAACAAACGAAGCATTGCTTATGGAGGGGTTAGGATCAGACTTGTAGAGAGGACTTATGTCCACGGGGTTGTCAATATGCCACTGGGCATAACTAATACATTTCTTTTTAACAAAGAAAATGAGTGGCCATGTCCAAACATGGATTTCCCTGTTGCTTCTCAAACTGAGGCAAAGCAATTGATGTTACCAGTTTTAAGAACGCAGTTGACAGAGACTTTCCCCCATTCTGCTAGTGGTACTGTAGGTAATTGCCACCTGTTATCTTTACAGTCTACTTTTTCTACAGACATGTCAAAGTCAATGTGAATAGCAGCATACCATGACTAGTGCTTTATGGCTTCATTGTTGTTATTATATTGCTATAATACCATCATTACCATCTAAGTTTAAAATTACTGACTACATTGAGCAAAATACACCTTTCCTGATGTTAATGCCAAGGCGGGAACTTGACAATATCCTATAAACTTAGCTATAATTTTCTCTCTAATAAGTTACAGCTGTTACCAGAGCAGTGACTCAGTAGCTTTAAAGATGTTTCTAAAGTCAAGGTTTCTGATTGCAGACTGAAGGATTCTCCTTTTTTCAGTCATGGAAGTTAGATGCTTTTAAATGAATGCATTCTCTGAACAATGTGTCTGGTTCTGAGACGTACTGAGCTCCTGGTATTCTCTTGGCTGAGTTGCAGATGTTCAGAAAAGGGAAAAACTCAGACAGCTGAAGTGAAACTTGAGTGGCAAGTTGGTTTTGTGCTGTTTTCTCCATTGGAACGAATTTCATCCTAAGTGCTCAGTACTCATTGAAATAGAATGCCAATAGTATTGGGAGAGATAATAGATTATAATAAGCTGCAATGGAAGGTTCATTGTGGAACTGCTGGTACATATAGTCTGGCTTTCCAAAGGGCATGCTGATATATCTGTGATAAGAGATGAAGTGCTGCCACGCTGCAGAACATAATTTTGGAGATCAAGTGGTTGCCACCCTAGGAATATATCTTGTTATGACTATGCATTCATTTTTGCACATGCCTGTTCACACACGCTCATACGCTCTGCCCGTTTGGGGTGGTGGAATAGTGTTCCTTAATATAAAATGAAATAAAAATCATTATTAATACAAATGTTTTAAATAAAATATTCACTCTGTGGTGATTAGGCCTCAACTAATATATTGTGTCCAGTTCTGGGCACCACATTTCAAGAAAGATGTGGAGAAATTGGAGAAGGTCCAGAGAAGAGTAAGAAGAATGATTAAAGGTCTAGAGAACATGACCTATGAAAGACTGAAAGAATTGGGCTTGTTTAGTTTGAAAAGGAGAAGACTGAGAGGGGACACGATAGCAATTTTCAAGTATTTAAAAGGGAGAACACTTTTATGGAACACTTTCAGAAACACTGGTCTAGACAGTGCTTGGTCCTTCCGTGAGGGCAGGGGACTGAATTCAATGACCTCTCAAGTTCCCTTCCAGTTCTAGTATTCTATGCATCTATGATTCTATGACTTTTAAATGAAATGTAAAACTGAAGCCTTAACTACAGTTGTCTCTCAAAATCCTATGGCACTTGACACAGGTATTACAGGCATTCCACTCAGAGTCCTGACCAAATACTGACTGTATTCTGCCTTCTTACATCCCTCCTGCCATGTCTGTTGGGCATAGTTATGGGCCTGTGGGTTGAAGGCAAGGCAGAAACTAGAAGAAATGTAAGACTCCAGGTGAGACGTCATTTTTACTCAAAAGGATTTCTGGTCAAAGACAGTAAATATCCTCAAAGAGTGCATGCACCCAAGAACCAAAATGAGCACAACCCTTACAGCTATTAAAAGCATTAATATTCTACCTTGGCACCTGAGGGGAAAATCACTCCAAGATCAGACAGAGTCAAGGAGTCAAGCCCTGCTTCCGGTCTCTGAGAAGAGCAGAAGTGCTCAGCATTGCACAAGTAAATGCAGCACAATGTGGCTCACGTATGGTTCACCATGGCTTTTTTGCAAGCCACCGGATGGCAGCAGAGCCAGGTACAGGACTGTGACATTTGTCCTACTCTACAGTTGGGAGTAGCAGAAGGCTGGGGGACTCCATTCTCCACAATCTAGTCATTAGGCGTGGGAAGGATGCGGCATGGAGAGGTAGCACGATTAT